ATGGATGATGGATGGATGGATGATGGATGGATGGATGGATGGATGGATGGATGGATGGATGGGATCACCTGCCTGGACACTTCTGTCCCCTCTCAGGGACCCCAAAAAGTCCCATTGGAGGATTTGCGGATCCTTTACCCCCCATCCCTTACCTGTGTCCAGGTACCCGCCCTCATCCAGCGCTGCCGGCTCCGCTGGGGGCTGAGGAGAAGCAGGAAAACCCCTGGGACACACCTGGGACACACCTGGGACACACCCTGCCACCAGCCCCGGTGACCCAAACCCGGCCTTGGGCACTGCCAGGGATCCAGGGGCAGCCCCAGCAAATCTGGGAATTCCATTCCAGCCAGGAATTCCTTGCCAAGATCCCAGCCCAAGCTCCCCTTTCCCAGTGGGAGCCATTCCCTGGCTCCTGTCCCTCTGTCCCTTGTCCCCAGTCCCTCTCCAGCTCTCCTGGAGCCCCTGCAGGCACTCTGAGCATTCCCTGGAATTTTCCCTTCTCCAGGGGAACATTCCCAGCATTCCCAGTCTGGCTCAGAGCAGAACCCAAGAATTATTTCTGTTGGGAACAACCTTAAATCCCACCCATGGATCATTCCCCTATCCCATCCAGAACCCCAAAATCCAACCTTTCCCGGGATTCCCATTCCCAGGAATTCCTCATTTTTAGGATTTCCTCACCATTTTTGGAAGATTTCCTCACCATTTTTGGGATTTCCTCACCTTCCCAACGCCTCCCTTGGTGTTCCTCTGCTTCTGGAGGATTTTGGCCCTCAGGAGCTGCAGGAGCTGCTCGGCCGTTCCCGGCCGGCTCCGCACCAGCGCCTGGATCATCTCCTCCGGGAGCCGCAGGTTCAGCTTGCTCAGCACTTTCCTGGAATTTGGGATCGATGGAACACCCGGGGAGGTGACAGAGGGACACAGAGGGACACGGGGGACGGAGGGACACAGTGGGACACAGGGAGATCCAGCACCTGGATCCAAAAATTCAGGGAACCAAGAATTCAGGGAGCCAAAAATTCAGGTTACCCAGTACTTTCCTGGAATTTGGGATCGATGGAACACCTGGAGTGGTGACACAGGGACCCAGAGGGACCCAGAGGGACACAGGGGACACAGGAGGATCCAGTGCCTGGATCATCCTTGGGAGCCAAATATTCACCTTACTCAGCACGTTACTGAATTTTGGGATTGATGGAACAGCCGGGGTGGTGACAGAGGGACACAGGGGGCCACGAGGGGACACAGGGGGACACACATGGGGATCCAGTGCCTGGATCCTCTCCAGGCACCAAAAATTCAGGTTACTCAGCACTTCCCTGAAATTTGGGATCAGTGGAACACCCGGGGGAGGTGACAGAGGGACAGGGGACACAGGACACAGAGGGACACAGGGACACAGAGGGACACGGGGGGACACAGGGGGACACCAATCCCCACCCGCAGCCCGCCACCGTGGCTCTGTGGCCACACGGAGCTGTCGGGTGGTGACAAACAGGGGCGACACCGCCCGCAGGACAGGTGGGGACAACCTGGGGCCACCCCAGATGGGCCGTGGGGAGTGACACGGAGCTGGTGGCACCCGTCCCTACCTGTTGAGGTGGCCCCAGTTGGCGACTTTCTGCGCCGTGGAGCTGGTGGGGACAAAGCTGTGCATCTCCACCAGCGAGGGGAAGAAGAACTTCACCACCTCGGCCGCCAGCACTGCGGGGACAGCGGGGACACGCTGCGGCTGGCACCACGGCCACAGCCCGCCCCGGCCACCCCGCCGCGTCCCCTCAAGGCCAACCCCCGTCGCTGAAGTCGCGGGCGATGTTCCTGCGCGGCCGTGACAGCGGCACCGTGTCCAGCCAGCGGTACAGGGACACCAGCGACGAGTCCGGGCCCGGCTCCGGCCCCTCGGCCGCCATCAGGGCCCGGCCGCAGCGTC